GAGGGCTCCGCCTGTGTTAATATAACAAGGGTTACAATACGTAACCCGGCGTTTTGAAAATGTAAGAAGTATAAAATACAGGTATTTGTGTTAAAAATGTAAGAAGTAAAAGTAAAACGTCTTCAGAAAAATGAGTAAAGTACTGATACCAGATATGTACTTAAGTACAGTAACAAAGTATTTGTACTCCACTACTTCCCACCTCTGCTCAAATGACATCAAACATCCAGTGAGAGTAGGGAAAAGTTAGCATAATGTTTAAAGACAACTTCTTCTTCTTCTTCTTTGTACTTCGGCAGTGTGGAGATCATCCGGCTGGGGAACAGCTTCTACATCGACTGGGACAGGAAGATGTACTACTCACGGAGCAACACCCCCGCCGAGGCTCGCACCACCACGCTGAACGAGGAGCTGGGCCAGATCAAGTACGTCTTCAGTGACAAAACAGGGACGCTCACGCAGAATATCATGACCTTCAACAAGTGCTCCATCAACGGCAAATCATACGGTGAGACTCATGACTTCTACCCGTAGTTTTCTATAATCAAGTTTGTTTTTCATTTTGTCAATACATCAGCGGCTCTGGAGACTTTTTCTCCACAACAATGGCAAGAGGCATCTTAGGGTTTCTTAATCAGAAACCCAAAGTTTGTAACCTTTGTTTGTAATTTATGATCAATGTAATATATAATAGCACACATTGATGCCGCCCAGCATTTTATAATTGTGATCATTCATATAGGAATACAAAATTATGTCATATATAAAGAATATATCGGCTATTCATTTGAGTACACATTCAATTCCAAGTTGTTTTTAATATTTGTATTAAAAGCATACATACAGCATTGATACAGATTCATGTTGGGTGGATACCATGCTTCATTTTAGATGTCCAACTGCAAAATAAATACAAATAGAAGGAGAGGCAAAACAGAACAGAAAAATCATGACTCAAACTTACAAAATCAAATAAAAATAAATAAGATAATCATTTAAAAATAATGAATAAAAATACAAAATTAATGATTAACACGGTAGGAAAAAGCAAATAATAGTATAGTTAAATTAATTTAGGATTATAGTTCTTCTATATTCTTCATGCAACTGGTTCATTTATGTTTCTCAACTTAATACTTTTCTTTATCTTTTTCAGGTGATGTGTATGACTACACAGGTCAAAGACTGGAAATAACTGAGGTGAGCTGGATGTTGATAATTAAAATTCAGCAAGTCCTTATACCTAGATTACAAATTAAGTCATTTGTTTTTTATGTCACATTTTTTTATGCAACTTCCCTGTTCCCCTGTTTATAACAGTGTTGCTTTATCATCTAGGAGTCATTGGATTTAACACTGTGGATGCTTAACCACAACACAATAGCTGTTGTCAATAAAATAACTGAAGACAGATTGATATCATAATGAGGATAAGGCTTGATTTTACCACATCAATTATATAAATGAACCTCTCTCTCTCTCAGCATACAGAGAGGGTGGACTTCTCCTTCAACGCGCTGGCGGACCCCCGCTTCAGGTTCCACGACCACTCCCTGGTGGAGGCAGTGAAGCTGGAGAACCCAGAGGTCCACACCTTCTTCAGACTGCTGGCCCTCTGCCACACCGTCATGGCAGAGGAGAAGAAAGAAGGTTAACACATCCTCTTTCTTTGATAGATAAAACCAAATATCGTAGTGACCACAAATGACCAACTTCATCTAGACCTGAAGGCAAATCATTTTCCCTGACTGACAAATAAAGACATTTCTTCTCCTTCAGGTGAGCTGTCCTATCAGGCGCAGTCTCCAGATGAGGGAGCTTTGGTAACCGCCGCCAGAAACTTTGGATTTGTCTTCCGCTCACGCACGCCGGACAGCGTTTCCATCGTGGAAAAGGGACAGCAGCGCAGCTATGAACTCCTGGCCATCCTCGATTTCAACAACGTCCGCAAGAGGATGTCCGTCATAGGTCAGTAATCCTCTAAAAACAGATTGGAAATAATTGAGAGTTAAGGTTCCTAATCAGTATTCCTCTGTTTTTGGTGGGGGGTTTTTTGGCCCACCAACAACCCACCTCAAAATTGTAGCATGTGAGGTAAAAGAGAAATTATAATTATAAAACAACAAATGATAATTATGTAAAATGTAAATGGTCTGCAAAGGCTAAGATCCCAAAGCTCCCCCCAACTTAAATGCCTCCGTTGGACACCTTTGTTTACTTCTGTAACATAGTGACATCACTGTGTAACACGCATACTTCTATTGGCTAGCGCTCCAACACATTGTATGATATAGGCTAAGTGGTTGACCAATCACAACAGAGCCGGCCAGCTAACCAATCAGCAGACAGGGCTCTGGTTTCAGACACAGGGTGAAAAGAGAAGCTGCAGCACAGTCAGTATGAGAAAAATAAAGAGCTTTTTGAACATTAAAGCTTGTAAACAAGTCATAGTAGAGACACAAAATACTAAGCTTTGAAGCTGAAAATCAGCATAATAGAGAACCTAAAGCCCGGAAGTAAACTCTTTCCGGTTCCTTTGATAAAAATGCAATGCAATTTCTTCATAGGATTTTGTAAAATAGCTAGAAATAAGGTCTGTGGTTGACACACATTTAAGAAAAGGATCACGTTTTGTTCAGCCGGATAATATCCACATGTCTATCCTACTTTTATAATTTTATAATCATAAATCTAGTCGCCAGAGGCAAAATGCTAACGTTATGCTATAAACGAACTGGAGCAGGGTCGCTGCTTCAACGTCACGCCAACTTAAGATCCATATTCAAACATACAGATTCTAAATGGTACAAGTTGAAGCGTTTGTTTGAACAG